TTGGAACTGAACTTTAGCAGCGGATGATTACACGAGAACACGAGGACGCAAGACCGATGAAGAACGCTGAGAAACAGCCAGTGACTTCATACCACCCTGTAGAGTTCGTTTTACACACAAAATGCAGCCAGACAAATGCCAGGGCACGTATTTACGGTTTCCCAATTATGTAGCCCTGGTGCACGCACCCCCGATAATCCTGTGTTGCAAAACTAACTAGGAGCAAAGCAAAACACAGACACAAATCTACTGCATCTGGGCAGAGCTTCAGAACTAGAACAGGAGTGATGAAGAGGATTCATGAAAAACGCTTACACAGCAGCACGATCTGAATAAACAGCTTAAAATAACAGTTAAAAAAGAGAGAGCACGCTGGAGACGAGGGCACGTTCTGAGGCTGCAGGCACACAGCTAGCTAACTACTTAGCAACTGAGCTCAGTCTCTTAATCTAACCTTCATAATCAAAGCACATTAGGAATAAACATGGATAGGGAGAGAAGAGGATCAAAGACTCTGTCAGAAAATATAAAAAGAACGTGCCTTGTTTTGCAGATAGGAACACACAACAGCAAACTGCAGACAGAGTGACAACTCCATTATTTACGGTGAATAATTTGAAATTCACAGCAGCACAGTTCATAATTCCAGGAAGATTGAATTAAAATTTGGGTCCCATTTTATATTAGGTGGCCTTAACTACAATGCATATGCATCAAAACAGTAAAGGCAATGTACTTACTGTGTTCATAATGTTTTGCAGAACACTTCTGGTACTCTTGTGGTAGGGTTAGGGTAGGTTTAGGGGTATAGGTAGATTTAAGGGTGGGACAGGTGTATAGGATGGCCAACAGTGTAATTACATGCAGATATTTAATCAATCATATGTACAATGTAAAAAACATGTATTTACATAATTGTAACAACTAATTAAATTCAGTATAAGTACATACTAGTTAAAGACACCTAATATAAAGTGAGACCAAAAATATGTTTTAATTTACCGATACTTTTTTTGTTAGTTAAGTAATTAGCTATTAGAAATGACTAGGGATGCACCAATGTATCAGTCGATGGTATTTACTGGATACACTTAAAGCTATATATTGGCAATAATTCAAATGTATGATAAAATACACAGATGGTGAACAATAACATGAAGGCAATTTCTTTTGAATGACGGTGTTTTTTAAAAATGTCATACATTTTGTAATTGATATATGGCAACATTACTTGTATATTAACATATTTAAATAAACATATTGTATTATATGCAAAATTACAGTTTATGCTGTTAAAGAAATAATAAATAGCAAAAATACCTTTTGAAGATGTTGTGATATATATGTAATTGTGCTTCTTTTGTTAAATGTGAAATAGGTCCGATCCATATTGAGTAAAATTAAAGGGTCACGAAACACCAAAACATATTTTCTGAGCTGTTGACAGTCGTATATGTGTCCCACACTGCTAAAAACACTTTTATTACACATATATTACACTAAAAAGTGAAAATTGGTTGTGTTTGAGTTATTTCGAGCAAATTCTTCCGGTTTGAAATGAATTTTTGAAGCTGCGTCACGGCCTTGAGATCTTAGCGTGTATTCCAGCGTGTAGACTGGACGTTTGTACCTGGGAGTTTCTTCCTCTGAGTGTGCTGCATTCATTCATGTGTATGACTTGGTTCAAACCAATCAGCGCGCTCTATTGTGTATGCGGTGCAACTTCATTAATATGCATGATAGCTTCGAAGACTGTTTTTACCAGTTACAGTGTTCAAACGGCAGAGAGACGCCACGTTGTGTTGACAAGCGGGAGAACATGAATTGTTTGGAGATACAGGTCGTCAGTGTTGCTTTTATAATTTGCTGCAGTGACCCAATAAGCTACTTCTTATTAATAGTTAGTAAGGTAGTAGTTATTAAAAAACAGGGATGTAAAATAAGATAATACTTTTTAAGTGCTAATAAATGGTTAATTTCTTAATAATAGTCAGGTAATAAGCCAGTAGCAAATGGTCTGAATTTGTGTTGAAAGCATATTCTCTAAATGTACCTGCAATTCTAGAATCCCCCTAGCAGAAGCACTATGGAAATGACGGGAGCTTTTGACATGTGACCCGGAAGAAAGAAGCGTGCCGAATTCTTGAATTAGACTCTGGAATTCTCCAGCTACTGCATAAGGGTTAGACCTTAATCCAATTCAAATGGCAGGGGCTTAGCATGTTGAACCCATTCAAACAGATCCCCTCAGGCTCAGTGTGCATACTTCAGTTCCTCCTTTAGGCTGCTACAACACTGCAAAAAATGTCTTTCTTATTGAATATATTTGTCCTGTTTCTAGTCCAAATATCTAGAATGTCTAAAGTCAAGACAGGTACAAAATATTGTGTTGTTTTCAGAAGTAATATCTCAAAATGAAGTGAGTTTTTCCTTAAAACAAGCAAAATAATCGGCCAACGGGGTAAGCAAAATAATCAGTTTGAAATAAGATTAGTTTGCTTAACCCATTGGCGAAAAACTTACCTAAAAACTTAATTTGACATAATATTTCTCAAAAAAAACAAGACATTAGTTTTTACTTGTCTAAAAATTGCTTTTTTATTTAAGAATCTTTAGATACTTGGACTAAAAACAAGGCAAAACCTAATTTTTTTTAGTTCCAATGAACAATCAGGGGAGTTCCTGTCTATTAACACTCATATGACGCTGATGTGTCAGTCATCCTATTCGTCATCAGAATAAAAATACTAAAGCAGTGCTCTGAGTCAGCATCCAGACAGACAGACAGACACGAGTCCACTGTGTTCTACTCTTGCTTCTGACATGGTGCACTGTTTCCTAAGCCATTTAAAGTCTTACAGGCCTCATGACCACACAATAGAGCCTTTCAGAAATCACATGAAGTCTGTACACACTATGCAGTCGGGACACACCATATCACGTTCAGTTTGATATTATTAATAGTTATGTTTCCATCTAAAAACACCAATTAGACATATGCACATATTTTCAGTAAAGCAGCACCATCCAATGAGTTAAAGAGAATAAAATCATCACTTCCTGATAAACTGACACCAAATATATTTTTAAAAAATGGTTAAAAAAGACAAAAATAATACGATAACACTTTAATTTAAGGTGATGTATTTACAAATCTTCCATGCACTTATTTTTGACCTTTTTCCTGCAATGGAGAAGTCCACTCGCTTTTGCAATTGTTTTAGAACTTTCGATTTTCATAGTTGCCTATGAGAGAAATGACTGGGAAAAATACAACCCAGGCTCATTTTAAAAAAACATACCCCTATATAGATTTCTTGAGAGCGCCAAATAGGTCCCAGGAGATACGTGATTGCTTTTGCGAATCCACCAGAGGCCGCGGTGTACGCTTTTTGAGATCTCAGATTTCTAAATTGGTGCCTGCTGATCTCACATAATACCACCAAAGGCGGCTGTTGACTGAATGACTGACCGACTGACAGATTAACTGACCCGCCCTCCTCCTTTACTATACCCAACCAATAGTGTTTACAGAAGCACAGATTGATCTGCCGATTGATCTCAAATCCGCCCACGTACATGGTGAGCCACTGGACAAACTGGTAACAGCGGGAAAGCCGTCCACACAGAGGTAAGTGGTCAGCTGTTAAGCGTGAAAAGGAATGCTGTCATACCCCCACATATCGTTCATTTTAAAGACGAAATGCAGCCATACGACTACATTATTCGCGCTCTCCAGAATGTATATAGGGCTACGTTTTCAAAATGAGCCTATGTTGGAATAATAAGCGGGTTGCTCTACAATCAAGTGTTCATGACTCAATATAATATAGGTAGAATAATATAATAAAAATATTGGTTTGCGACATCAAGCAGCATAACGAGTAGTTTTTAATGCCTGATAGTCAATGGAAGTGAATGAGACAGGAAATGTTGAGCCAAAAAGATTCCAATGATTGCAATGAATTATGGAACTAATTCTCTAAATAACGCAAATTCTAACCCCAACGATATACATAACTAGATGTAATTAATTAACCCTACTCAGTATTCAAACAATTATTTACACAGTGTTATAATCACCAGTGATATTTCCCTTGCAGGCTGCTAGAGAGCATTCCGTGTCATTTATCCGAACTACAACTCCCATTATGACCTGCAGTCACACACCGGTTTCAGTGCACCTCCCGATTACTCACACAGCTGAAGGAAATCATCGCTGATTACATGGACTTCATATAATTTATATTCTTGTCTCCACTGTGAACTTACCAAAGCATTTTTCTTGCCTTGTTGTGTTTTTGACCCTGTTTGTTTAACGTTTATTGATTGTCTGCCGCCCATCTCGGCCCCTTTCACCTGTCTCTATGTTAACGATTTGCATTATGTCTATTTTACTGCCTGCTCCTGTTTTGACCCTTGCCTGCCTGACAACCAAAATAAAGCTGTATTTGGATCTAACCTCTGTTGTTCCACTCCAGATCATTACACACTGTAACTATGTGACCTTAAAATAAAATGCAACCAATAATACTGAACCACTTTGATGATGGACTTTGGCTGAGGGACTTTCGAATGACCAAAACAACATTTCATATGTTTTAATATGTAGTCGGTTTGCTGATTTGCCAATTAATGCCATTACATCATCCCTATTTTTGTTATCACATGATCAGTTTAAATGGAATCACATGACTTTTATGATGTGCACGCTGGAATTTGTTCGGTAAATGTGTTTCCATTGTAGTTTAATTTATTTTTTTCTTATCATGTAAAAAGTTTTTTCATACTCAGTAGTCCGCACGTTTCAATTTTTTATACTCCAAACGTGCATAATGAATTATTATTAAAGTAATATGTGTGCAATAATTGTGTGTTTGAGTCTGTTTATAAGTTGGTTGAGCGTTTGAATGGAAACATAGCTAATGTCTGCGTCTTGTGTGATTTGTTCGTAATGACCTTGTTTTAATTTCGACATTTCAGTTTGCGCGCATTCGCACCTTATTGTTGAATGTCTGTTGGTTCTAGAGATGTTACTGCCTGAGCCGCCAGACGAGAGGTGGTTTCCTCCATGGAGATCCTCAATCGATCGGCTCCAGGCTTTAGATTTATCCACCGAGTTCTCTGTGCTGTTCTCAGAACTATCACCATCATACCTGTAAAGCACAACACATAACAGTGAATGTACAAAAAAAGAGAAAATTATTGTTTGGTCACACTATTAACAAACCATTAACAAGACTTTTAGCTCATTACACTACTTATTGACTGCTTAATAGATAGCAGAGATGGGAGTATGTCACACGTAAGCAAGACTCGAGTCATAACCTTCAAGTCTCAAGCAAGTCAAGTCAATGCTTATTTCAAGTCAAGTTGTAGCTTGGATCTATCAAGTAACTTTCCAGTCAATCAAATTTTTGAATATACAGTTGAAATGAGAATTATTAGCCACCTTTGTTTTTTATATTTTTAAATATTTCCCAAAAGATGTTTAACAGAGCAAGAACATTTTCACAGTATGCTTGATATTATTTTTTCTTCTGAAGAAAGTCTTATTTGTTTTATTTCGGCTAGAATAAAAGCAGTTTTAAATTTTTCAAAAAACATTTTAAGGTCAAAATTATTAGCCCGGTGGTGTTTTGGCGCAGTAGGTAGTGCTGTCGCCTCATTGCAAGAAGGTCGCTGGGTCGCTGATTCGAGCCTCGGCTGGGTCAGTTGGTATTTCTGTGTGGAGTTTGCATGTTCTCCCTGCGTTCACGTGGGTTTCCTCCGGGTGCTCCGGTTTCCCCCACAGTCTAAAGACATGTGGCACAAGTGAACTGGGTAGGCTAAATTGTCCGTAGTGTGTGTGTGTGTGTGTGTGTGTGTGTGTGTGTGTGTGTGTGTGTGTGTTTGTGTGTGTGTGTGTGTGTGTGTGTTTGTGTGTGTGTGTGTGTGTGTGTGTGTATGTTTCCCAAAGATGGGTTGCGGCTGGAAGGGCATCCACTGCGTAAAAACATGCTGGATAAGTTGGCGGTTCATTCCGCTGTGGCGACCCCGGATTAATGAAAGGACTAAGCCGACAAGAAAATGAATGAATGAATATGTTTTTAATGTTTTAATGTATTCCAAATCAACTAAGTGTACCCAAAGTACCCTAAATGTGCACAGCCTTCATTAAAATAGAAATTGATAATTTTTTTCTAATGGGGTTGTTTTAGAAAAACTCACCAAATTTCAACATTTAAAGAAACATTGTTTAGTTTTGTTTTTGTCTGTTGTTAAAATGGTGTCCGGGTCTTTTTTGTCCCATAAGTCATAAGTAAACAATCTTACCAACCCTAAACAGAGGTTAGTGTGTTGTAATGAGGTGTTGGGGTGACTGTGATAACAGTCTTTTTCTCCAAAACCCACTAAAACATGATCATTTCTTATCAGCAGAGTGCTATTTGGTCGTAAATGAGATCTTGTGACTTGATTTCAGTGAACAGTCTGCACACACACACACACACACACACACACACACACACACACACACACACACACACACACACACACACACACACACACACACACACACACACACACACACACACACACACACACACACACACACACACACACACACACACACACACACACACACACAGAGAGCAGCAGTAGGGCATGTAGTCAGAGCCACACACAGACTCAGCAGCATTGGGAGTGAAAGGAGCCATTGTGTTCATTGTGTTCATGTTCGGGACAATCACGGGTGACTTACGTGACAGCATACTGTGCAAACGAAAGATACTCCACCAACACATCCAAACCCTTGTTCTCCTCATTCAGAAACTCCCGCACCCATCTAAACAGAGAGAAAGAGACAGTTCAGGAGTGACATATTCTTTATCATTTGGTAATAATAGACACTCATTACACTCATTACTCAAAGTGCGAAACGCTTTTGGCGGGAAATCTCCTCAGCAGTGCACCTGAACTCTGAACCTGAATATTTTGTTGTCATAACTGAAAGTTGGGTTAAACTCAACATTGGATTGACTTTTTCAATTCCTGAAACCTTCCAAAGGTTGACGGAGACTAGGAGAAGTGTGTGGTAAACTGTGTTTTGCTTACATCGATAAATTCATTACCACTGACTGTCCCCTACGACTCCGTCAAGCTGTCTGATGCAGATGCTGGATTGACTATCAGCTTAAAGAAGAGTAAGTTCTGTCTTAAGGACATTTCACTCCTGGATCATTCATTTTCTTGTCGGCTTAGTCCCTTTATTTATCTGGAGTTGCCACAGCAGAATGAACCGCCAACTTATCCAGCACGTTTTTACACAGCGGATGCCCTTCCAGCTGCAACCCATCTCTGGGAAACATCCACACACACTTATTCACAAACACACACTCATACACTATGGACAATTTAGCCTACCCAATTCACCTGTACCGCATGTCTTTGGACTGTGGGGGAAACCGGAGCACCGCCAGTGCACCCACCACACACCAGCTATAAGTGGAGAGGAGAGACAGTGATTCGATGGATTGGGAGGTATTGATGGGTAAAAGGCCATTCTATATCCCTTTCTTTCTTTTTTTTACAAACAAATTATACATTTTAACAACTACAGTGACATTTTTCCCTGTGAGCTCGATTCTCCTACTCAAACTGTTGTTGATTATTTAATTATATATATTTTTTGAATGTGTAACACTGTAGGTGTTTATGCTGGGTACGGAATTAAACTATTATTTTAATTAATTCCGATGGGTAGATGAAATGTTACCTGGCGCCCAAATTCATGATACAATTTTCAGTTATTATTTGTTAAGTGGGCGTGCCACCATTACAAAGTTAAAAGACACCTTTTAACCCCACAGTTAGGTTTGTCCATATTCGATCTAACGTTGAGTTACAACAAATCACCATTTTAATAGTATATATACTGCACCAGTGGCTCAGTGCTTAGCACTTCTGCCTCACATACAGAAGGTTGCTGATTCAAGTCCCAGCTGGGTCAGTTGGCAATTCTGTGTGGAGTTTGCATGTTATCCCCGTATTCGCGTGGGTTTCCTCCGGGTGCTCCGGTTTTTTCCAAAGTCCAAAGACATGCGCTACGGGGGAACTGAATAAACTAAATTGGCTGTAGAGTGTAAATGTGTCTGAGAATGAGTGTGTTTCCCAGAACTGGGTTGCAGCTGAAAGGGCATCCGCTGCATAAAAACATATGCCGGAATAGTTGTCGATTCATTCCTCTGTGGCGACCTCTGAAATGAAGACTAAGCTGAGGAGAAATGAATTAAAAAATATTGCGACATGAATACGATTTCACAAGATGACTATAAATAGCTCTATTTTGAAATAAATCCTAATTTAGGGGAGACTATCTGCACAAAATACATGATAAACTAATTAAAACATAGCTAACTTCAACAGAGCAGTCTATATACATGAAAAACAGTCCTTTGCGGCAGTCTAAAAGCAGTCAGACAAATTAATCAAATAATCAAATGTAGACAGTGTGTAGACTTCTACACATGCAGCTGGAATGACATCCACCGCATAAAACATATGCCAGAGTAATTGGTGGTTCATTCCACTGTGGTGACCCTTAATATATCAAGGAATAAGCCGAAGGATATTGAGTTAGTGAGACTTCTACACATGTATAGTCTAAAAACTTTCAATCTAAGGTTAAACTAGAACTGTAGCGTCTAGCAAACTGTAATCCCAACTCGACCGATCCTGCAACTATTATAGATTCGCACATTTTAATATCGACAACGAAACAATATTTATTATAAATTTCAAACATTGTGAAAAGGAATAAAAATTGTTGACACCATAATGTCATAGAAACTGCCGTCTAATGTATGTGAAGTACAATCTTATAGTATCAAAACATTAAGCTGAGGCACGTATTTCCTATGAACTTATGGGGTCCTATCATACACCCGGCGCAATTATGGCGCAAGGCGCGGCGCAATAGTCTTTTGGTAGTTTTAGCTTGGCGCAAGAGTCGTTTTGAGGCGTTGCGCTACGCTGTTTAAATAGCAAATGCATTAGCGCTCATATGTGCGCCCATAGGTGTTCTGGTCTCTAAAGGAAGGCGTTCTAAGGCAGACTACTGGCGCGTTGCTATTTTGAGAAACTATAATAGATTTTTCATTAGACCAAAACAAACCCGGTCTAAACTCCAGTGCAGAGTTGCGCCTCGCTTACACACTGCTTAATACGCACAAGAGAGCAATAGGCAAATATCTTTACATATGAAAAAATTTAAATATTAAGGATATATATATAGGATATAATAAGAATAGATATAGGATATTAATATAAAGGATTAAAATATTACAAAACATTATTTTCTAGCCTACATAAATATGAAAAATCACTGCTTTTATGTCTTCTTCATCTCGGGAGGCTTTTTCAGTTCATTCATAACAATTTGCTTTTGTATGATGTTATTATTATTAGCAGAATTATTTATTTTATCCATATTTATATTTGTTTTATTAAAAACAAGCTTAGATTTGCCCACCTGTCAGGTTTTAGACCATATGGGGCATGGCAGGTGTTTTAGAATATCACTCAGGTTTTTGAGCACACTTCGTTATTATTGTTCATTTATTCGTTTGCTGGAAATTAGAACTGCATTTAGAAATAGTTTTGTAACGAATATTTGCGCTTAAACAAAACTATTTATTTATAGACTAATTAATGTCTGTGCGTAAAGGTTTCCCTATCCACGAGCGAATGTGAAAGTAGATCCATTATCTCTCATTCTCATGCAGTAGATGCTCTGTTTAACAGTTTTCTGTAAAAAAAAACTGTTAACTGTCTGCTAGTGAAATGCTCGTTTTTTTTCCACTTAGACTTACTTTGCGTCCTGTAAATAGCGAATGCGCTCTTGGCGCGACGCAGCTGGCTCTTAAAGGGAATGGGAGATGAGACTCTAATTGGTTAATTCTCAAAACACACCTATAACTCATTAAGAAAATAAACTCAACCCTTTTAGACCATGCGCCATGAAGCAAAGCAGGTTTTCCCGCCCTTAAATTAGCAAAAATGCATTCTGACTTGCCCTGAAAGCGTTTGCGCCCTGCGTTTTGCGCTTTGCGCATGGACGGTCAAAATAGAGCCCATGGTGTTTTCATGCCATGAAACTTGGAATTCTAACTTCAATAGGATTTAAAAGTAATATAATGCACTCTGTATAATAGTAAATTAGTTCATTTTTGCCAAAATGACTGGATAATGGTAAATAACCTTTAGAAAAAAAATGGGGGAAACATTGTTTTGGCAAAGGAGGAACACATCTGAAACTCAACAGACAGGATTTATGGAACTGCTCTGTTGTTGTGTGTTTGTCGAACCTGCTGTGAGCAGATAAACCTGCCTTATCTCATCTAGATTAACTAGATCATTTATGTAATCTAGTTTAGTACCATACGGTGGCTAAATCTCTGTGCAGTGTATCTGGCTGCTCTGAGCTCTGACTGCCCTTGCGATGATGAAACTATAACAACACTCATTTAGGGGATGATAAGGAAAGAGTGTGTGCTGGTTACTGCTGGAATATCACATCTTCCCATTTTCCTGTTGTGACATTTTCCTGACCTCGCAGAGCTCCATCAGCCTTTCCACTTCCTGTCAATCCTAATTCCCAGCATGCAACTAGGTGTGTGAATTTCAGCTCTCACAAAATCTCAAAAGCCCCAAATATTTCTGTCTTCCCATACTTTTTTGTACAGTATAAGTTTCACATAATGTACTCTCTCGAAAACTCTGACATCTTACCTGATTAAATAAACCCAGGCTCGTTCTGAAAATGTACCGCTATATACATCATGTTTGCGGGATCCTGGTCTCAGAGCTCAAGTGTAGTTGGTTTTTGATTCGGTTGGTGCTGCAATCAGAAACATGCATGTCGCCTGCGAGTGCACAGTAATTTATTTATTTTCAGTGTACTTGTGTCTTGCGTTCCGTCTTATCTTGGTGATTTGTAGAGCACATGGCTCCATGTTCACATGTTGGTCATGTGCTTTAGTGTTGTGCTTCCTATGAACACGCAGATCATCAGTTCTCTCATTGGCTGCAAGTTTTAGTCCTATTTTCGTGTGAGCACATAGCTTGTGTTGTCTCTTTAAGTCATGTGCTCTCATGTCTATTGTCTAGTCCCACCTTCCTTGTAACCCATTATTAGGTAATCCTGTTCACTTGTCTGTTAATTATTTCTCCTTTATAGTTCCCTTTTGTTTGCTGTCCTGTGACAGTTCGTTGTCGCAAATTGTCTTGTCTTGCATTTTCCAGCATGGTCCAGGCCTGCTCTTCCTTGCTACCCCAGTCAAGTTTGTTTTTGTTTTTTAGTTATGTTTGCCCCACTCTGGGTTGTTTTTGTTGCTTATTGTTTTGTTTTACAATTAATAAACCCAAGTTTTTGTCCCTGAAATTGAGTCCTCATCCTTCCCCAGCCTCAACTGTTGATGTTACGACTGAAGTTTATTTACTTGTTTATTATTACGGATTGTACTCTGTCTTTTTCTTTTGTCCCGCCTCCTTGTTGTTTTTCTGTTGTCTCATAGGCTCCCATACCGGCGTGATTCCCTGTTCTGATTGGCTGCTGGTCACAAAAGCATGTATAAAAAGGAGCTTCCGGCAGGGATCGGAGAGCTCATTTCTGTGCGTTCGGTGTTTGGAGTGGAGCTCCTGGGTTTCCCTCACCCCTCCGGCCGACGACCAACAACCAACATTGTTCTGATGACCATCATTCGTTAAAATATTTTTGAGAGTTTGAGCGTGTGGTGACCTGCCTATTTATTTGATTACTTTTGACTTTGTTTATGTTTAGGGGGTTAGGTAAGCTTTTTGTCTTTTTCTTTAAATAGTAATAGGCAATTTAGTGGATTTATTTTATAGATTCTTTTGTTTGTTATTTTGGCCTGTGGTCACCCAGACGAAATGCTCATTTATATTAACCACATTTTTCCATAATAAATCTATTCATATATACTCTCAACTGAGTGTGTGGGAACGGTTGTCGACCGAAGGGAATCTTTTTGTTTAAAGTTTTGTTTAGTTTGGGAAATCCACCACCCCAACACATTTGTTTTTTTTTTTTCTTCGTTTATTATGCCCTTTTTGTTTCCCCTAGACTTGGGGCGTAATAGTTGAGTTTTCTGGAACTGCTGGTGATTCATATGGTTTTTCAAGTCGCTTTGGATAAAATTGTCTGCTAAATAAATGTAAATCTAATAAAAATATTGATTGTGTTATTCGGGAAATAGAGATTTAATTTGCTGTGAATAGCCAATTAATATGGTCACAACTCACAAATGTCCCTACAATATAGTATACGTAACAATATACACATTCTATTCTAAGCTGAGTAGTATATTCAAGATAATGGTGCTCAAAATAGCCAGAGTTGTGAGAATACAGCGATTGTCCATGACTTCAGCTGAGACTTAGTTGTGAACATCCGATCGAAACGTTAATATTTCGTTAGGCGACAGGAGAGATTTTATAAATAGAGTGAGGTGACGCAACTGATACAAGTGAACTATGGGAAAACGACAACATGGCAAATAGAGTACATCAAACATTTTTTTTCCCAGAGTGTTTATAAAAAATAAGGTTATGTAACAATTCCCACAAACCCAATAAGCTGGCATTCCTGCAATACTTCTCTGGGCAAAAATATGACAAGTCCAGTCAGGAACATTGGGTTGGTGCATGTGCTGCCTCACACAAAAAGATGATGATTTGTGCATCACTTCATCTTACATGAGGGGTTTTGAAGTGCTGCAGTTTTCCTTTAGGTTTGAGTGTGTCTGTGTAACAGTTATTGTAAGCCGTATTAAATGAACTCCTATGCCCACAGATGAACTCACCCAATGTGATTGGTCCGTAATGAGATTTCCAGCTCCCGCAGGACCTGTGTGGACTCCTGCACTCTCCTCCTGAACTTCTGCAGATGAAAGAAAATGAAAAAAATAAATAAAAATGAATTAAAGGGCACCTATCATGAAAAAATCTGAATTTGTGTAGTTATACTGTCTATGCAGTCGTATTGGGGTAATACAAACACAAGTGTCTTTTATTAAATTTCCTTATGTAAAAATAGGACCCAAATCCCAGAGATTTTGAGGCCCACCACAATGTGACGTGGCAATGCGGTTTTCCCTGCCCACTGATATTGATTGACATGCGGGTATTACCCAACACAGGCTCATTGTGTTGGGTATACATATACTGTCTACATTTCTGGAGAGAGCAAATTATATAGCCAGAGCCAATGTATGGCTGCATTTTGTAAAACGAACACTACGGGCGGTGTGACGCTGCTGACAGCTTGTTTCTTTTTGTACTACCGGCTGACCGATTACCTCCATGTGGACGGCTTTTCTGCTGTTACCAGTTTGACTTGAGATGCAAAGAGTAGTTGGCGGTGGCGATGGGGTTCAGTTGTGGCCCAAACAATAAAAAAAACTTGGCCTATTTAAGAGGTTTCAGTTGATTTTGTTGAATTGGCACAATGTAAAAGAAGGAAAAGGAACACTGAAAAAGGCACAAAAAAAGTCATGTAAGTTTTTGACTCTTCTAAAGCATAAAAAACCATAATATGTTTACAGATATTTTAAAAACATCCTAAGACCGTACTCACACTAGGTACAGTTGCCTCAAACCGGGCCAAAGCACACTTGTCTCCCCTCCCGTCTCCCCCGACGGCCCGCGCTCACACCATATCGGGCCTCGGCACGCTTACGTCATCGCTGCTGCTCTGTTCTATGAGAAGCGCTCTCTATGGCAAGCCTTTTTAGCATCTAAATCTTTGTTCTGACTCCATAAATATATTTAGAGATATCTCTAATTATATTTTGACTAGTCATAATTATAATTCCACTACTCAGAATGACAATTAGAGATATCTGCAATTACAATTGTACTAGTACAAAATCAGATTGGAGATGTCTGCAAATATATTATGATTAGTCATATTCCTCCATTGACTTCCATTGAAAAATATTTGCAGATATCTCTAAATGAGTTTTGATTAGTAACAATTGTAATTAGAGATAGCTCTAACTGAGTTCTTACTGGTCATAATACATAGAGATATCTTTAATTCATCATATTTAGAGATATTTACAAATATATTTAAAGATATCTCTAATTAATTTACTAATAGTCGAATTACAGTTGTAGATATCTTGAATTGGCTTTTTGACTAGTCAAAATTCATTTGGAGATATCTCTAATTACAATTGTGACTAGTCAAAACTTATTTAGAGATATCTGCAGATATTTTTCAATGGAAGTCAATGGAGGAATATGACTAGTCAGTCATAATATATTTGCAGATATGTCCAATCTGACTAGTCGAATTATAATTATGACTAGTCAAAATATAATTAGAGATATCTCTAAATATATTTATGGATAGTCAGAAAAGGTTTAAATGCTAAAACGGCTTGCCATACGCTCTCACCCAGCAGAACAGTGGAGATTTCTCTAGTTATATCCTTTCAGTCGTTTGTTATGCAGTGACATGCAGTCAAATATTTCGCCAAACAGTCCTTAGGGATGCGGTGACACGCAGTCAGATATTTCACCGGACAGATCCGCCACTTTTGGCGCTCATAAACAATCATAATGCTCTCGTGCTGCAGGAATGAGGAGGTCTGCTGAAGGCGCGCAGCTGTCGTGAAGTGAGGAGTTTGTGTCTTTAATAAACGACGACAGTTTGCGATCGCTGAACAGTAAGAATAATTAATAAATCCATATGAAACAGCCCCTTAAAAGTCACGTCTCGCTTTCAGTTTCGGGCTTTGGCACGTTTTGCACTCACACACAAGCGTACCGCGCCAAAGCCCAAGTGATCCGCGCTCAGGCACACCTCTTCCAACCGGGCCAGGGCCAGCCAAGTGAACCGTGCTTGAGCCCGATTCAGCGCACTCACACTTCTCAAACGATCCGGGAAACGGGCCTGGGCACGGTACGGATGTCATAGTGTGAGTAAGCCCTAAGTGAACATTCTTGTTTATTTGAAAAGCAATGCTATTCTGCTTTGACAATGTGAGTTACATGCTCGAATGTCTCTCTTTGTTTTGGTCATTTTAACCCGCTCCATGCTAGTTTAGCTAGTATATTTCATTCATTCAGTCATGAAGGCTCTCAAAACGTGACCTCCGTGACCTCAAAACGTGACCTCCGTTGGACAGTAGCAGCTTCCAAAATAAGACACAGATTCAGAGTTCCACATGAGGTGGTTATTAATTAGCAAACAGTATAAATATTACAAACGTAAACACTAGGTAAGCAGGTAACATTGTAACACCATGTCCTAACAACATGCTACGTGACAAATTTGCAGTGATAAGCAATTTTGCACCAGACGAAACACAATAGAAATTTAATTCAGAAGCACAGAATAGTGCACCCACTGCACTCCAACAAAACAGTAAGCTTTAAAATCCAATTACTACATATTAAACTGATTAATTAACATCAAATGATTGATATTTGTTAACTTGGCTTGCACTGAGTCACAGTTTTAATATTTAACTATTAACTAAATGAAAATTTCAGGTGTTGGTTGGAACAAAAACTCCTTATAGTATGGAAAATATTCCTTCTATGATGTGCCATTGCTTTTAGCTAGAAAACGGTTTAAATCTTTAGACTCAATGGTCAGGCACACTCACGTGAATTTGGTAACCTGCGATCGCATGGACTCGTCAGAGGAGGAGCCGAGTGAAAACATGTTTTGATCCTGTAGTGCAATACCTAGTTCAACCACTGGGTGTCAAACTTACATACTGCAACTTCAATGAAAACACTGAACAACAAAAGTTTACCAAACACATTAATCAGTCACAATTGCTTAATGTTTCTAAAGAAGAAAACTTCAAGTGAGCCAAAAAAGAGCCATTTGGGAGCCATCTTCTTCTTTTGAACCTTTACCAAGAGCTGTACATTACTAATTCAACTATTAAGATATACCAACAAAGCTGATGCTTTGCAAGATTTTTGTGTCTTAATCACATGTCCTTCCTTTATTCCCTGTTGCTGTCTCTTTCCCTTCATTTTCTCACTGTTTCTCACTTCATTTTCATTGTTCCCACTCAAACACTCTTTGATGCAATGATTTCTCTGTGTGACATCAGTGAATCAGATTGATTATTAATGCCTGGTCTGCCACTCATCGTCATGGCTGTGGTCTAATTAGTGTTGCAGAAGTGCTACATCAGTTTTGAGTTAAGACTTGGCAGCATGTCTTCTTCAGCAGATGAAAGCAGTGAGGTCCTCTCATTGGCTGCTGTTTTTCACATGCATTTCACCTGACACGTGATTGGGTTGGCCCCAAAGCCACTGTATCCATGACTACGGTGAACAAAAAGTTTGCACTCAACACTATTATGAGACTAACTGGAGAAAACAAGCAAATAACCCTGTTACTGTGAACGTAATTTGTGTTTTGACAAACTGTGTCTTCAGTCTTTGTAACAGTGTTGAACAGTTTTATGGACTTTAAGTTGATTTCACCTGGTTTCTGGTCTGTTTTCTTTGTTCTGCATACTCCCATGTTCATTGAACTCTCACACTTCTTGTTTTTCTCTGTATTTTCTGTATATCGAACTCATTTTCTAATGGTGTTTGTGTTTCACATACACTGTTTAAAGCAATTAGTTACTTTACCTAAAGTATCAACACTAAAAACTTTAGTAAGTCACAGTAAATATTCCAGGATTTTTAACCACGATATAGTAAAGTGTATTACGTAATAATATATAATATATGCATATAATATAATATATATGTAATAGAATATAAGTATATATAATATAAACGAGGTGACAGTAGGTAGTGCTGTCGCCTCACAGCAAGAAGGTCGCTGGTTTGATTCTCGGCTGGGTCAATTGGCATTTCTGTGTGGAGTTTGCATGTTCTCCCCATGTTCATGTGGGTTTCCTCCGGGTGCTTCGGTTTCCCCCACAGTCCAAAGACATGCGGTACAGGTGAATTGGGTAGGCTAATTTGTCCGTAATGTATGAGTGTGAATGAGGGTGTATAGATGTTTCCCAGGGATGGGTTGCAGCTGGAAGGGCATCTGCTGTTTAAAAACAATTTTAGATGTACTGGCTACTTTTATTTAAACTAATGACAGTAATCACCGAACCAGCCGTGTGCGCTTGTGTTGTAACAAAATAAATACAATTATATTATTTAATAAATAATTAAAATTTAAGATAATATTATGACAAGAGCCTGTGTCATTTGCCTCCTTCCATTAAAACAATGAACAAATATCATCTATACATATTAATGACAAATTTAGCTTGTCACAGTCTGGTGTCTTCATTGTTTTATGTGCCATGTTTTTGTTGTTGTGTCAATATAAACAAAATAAATAATATATTAATAATAATAATAATACTAATAATAATTAAAACATTTTTAATTAAATTATTTATTTATTTATTTTTCTCCCTGTGATGGGTTGCAGCTGGAAGGGCATCCGTTGCGTAAAATATATGCTGGATAAATTCATATTTTCATTCTGGTTTATTCCGCTGTGGCAACCCCAGATTAATAAAAGAGACTAAGCTGAAAAGAAAATTTATGAATATACAGCCCATTTTGAAAATGAATATTTTAATCCTTTTCTCAGTAATTATGGGTAATAAATATTGGTGCATTCGCACAAAATTAAAATAATATGTTAGTCATAGAACATCTTTAGAAATGGAAAGGTAATACATTTTAAATTCATGCAAAATTTTGCAAAATAAATTACAAACTAAAACATTTTAACAAAATTCTATATATTATGTTTCTCTTGATGTTTGCTATTTTTGAAATGTTTTTTTCCCCCTATATACATTTGAGCTATTAATTTTTGAACCCTTATTGTAAGTTATTTTGTTAGATTTGCTCCAGATTTGGCTTCAGTACTGACTTAACATG